CTGTGTCTGTACAGTATTAATAGTCAGTTTCAGGGATTATTCTGTACAAAAGAACTGGTAGATGGCATCAAAATAAAAATAAAGACTAATGATACGCAAGACAAGTTTTTATGTAGGTTTTGGACTTCAGGGCCTCAAGAGCAATACTATTATATAACATACTATGGGGAAACAAGTTAGACAAGGTACATACACAAGCACCTCCCACTGCTGCACCGTGGACTGAAGTGTTCTGACTTGTGCTTAGTGATTGACGGGCCGCTTTTTGTGATAAACAATCAAGGAAACCAAAGGTTTCTGTCTTCACTAAACGCAGTCACCAAATGCATATATCTAGTGAGAGGTGTCTGCAAACACCAATACCTGCTTCTGTAGGGTGACGTCAAAGGAAACTTCTAACCTTGATAATACAAAAACAGAAAACAGAGGATGCACACCCAGTGTGTTTTACAGTTACTGGATACAATCTGAATCATACATTTGGCAGTAAAATCTAATGATAATGATGATGATGATGAGTGTGTGACTACATATTATATTTAAACTGAGTATTTACAATAATCGTTATGGATCGAAAGAGTTATTAGCAACAGTACAAGAAGCTTGTTCAAAAAATGTTTTAACGTGTATGTAATATCAAAACGATGATATTCCTAGAACAAAACTACTGTGTAATTTCCCTTTAAATGACTTATTAAATTCCCTCTTCAGCGTTTGCTAACCGGGACAAGGACTCACAGCTGCAGCGCAGAGATATGGGTCAACTTGGTCTGACTAAGACACGGTGCAATACAAGTTCGATCAAAGTGACGGTAAAATCAACTCAACTGTTTGTCATTAAATCAATAAGCAGAAAAAACTATGGGAACTCAGCTGTCATGGTGGTCAGCTAAAAAACTCACCTGTTTAGCCTGACAACGGTGTAGCAGAACCGACGACAGGGTTCTGTGGTTGTCGCTGCTTCTGCTGCTGCTTATCTGTGGGTGTTTTCTGGTTTCTTTAGAAGTCCTATTAGCCACTCACTCCCTACCAAGCCCTCCTGTAATTGGAGGTGTCGTTGCTAGGCAGCGAGCATTATTGCAGTGCATTGGACAGGTCCTGGCACGCTGGACATAAATTAGTCCGGCCGACAGGTGTCGTAAAGGTCCGAGCCAGCCAAATGTTGGGGGAGTAGTGTGTTTAAACATTAATTTGTTATTCGATTTAGACAATTAAAACAATAATTGTGAGGTTGTATGTTTTATATTAAAATTTGCAAATTGCTGTTACATGCATAAATAAAAATGTACCCTTTAGTAAATGCACAATATGAAGAAAGCATGGACAGAAAATGAAGGAGTGTATTCGTAAAAGATTAAAAATAAAGTTGTAATTTATTGGAAATTAAGTTGTCACAATCTGACAAGCAAGACAGTTAGAATAAACACAAATAACATTCACCAATATATAAATACAGACATTGAAAACAAAATAAATGTACATTTCAAGAGAATAAAGGGTTACGATGTACTTTGAAGCATTTAGCAACACATTTTACACAAAAAAAGAGGTTTCGAAAGGAAAATCTAGCTTTAAGTGGACTTTAGAAGTAATTATAGGTCATTAATATATAAAAAAATAATTTTGTAGGGATAAAGGGGCAATTGCTGCCCTTTTTACAATTTGCTTTTTAAAATTGCTGATCTCTTAGAACCAAATACATATATGAACTGTCCTCACTTCATCCAAAGCAGCAGGATTCTTCTGATTCTTCGTCACTCTGATATCTCCCAGACTCAGGCTGGTCCCTGCACTCTGCTATGAAGGCCTGAAGCTGGGACACTGGCAACTTATCTTGCTGATGATGCTGGAAAAGAGTCATTTAACAATACTGAGGTGGTCTTTGGTGGTCCTCATATCATATTCACAGTCACTTACTGTCACCATTCACATGTTACCAGAGTTCGGTTAACTCACTTGATTTACACTGACCTTGATGGTCTCGTAGGTGTCAGTGATGAGGGCGATAAAGAGACTGAGCACCATGTAGATGAAGAGTGAGATGAAGGAGTAGAGGTAGATTCTGCTGAAAAGCCACACCATGTAGCTTTTATCTCTCATGTGCAGGAAGGTGGCGTACATGTCATCACCATTGATGAGTGAAAAAAGACACTCTGTGACCCTGTCCAATGTCCGAAACTGGATTTAATAGAAATACGTGTGAATATTAATTCTTATATATAATATATATAATCTCACAGGTTGACATGAACTATATTTTTCGTACTTTGTCATGATAAGGACCAAGAACAATCCAACCACAGAAGCAGTAGCCGAGATAGATCATGACGGCACAGCAGCAGAACCGAATTACATTTGGGAACGCCGCTCTCAGGGTTAAAATCAAAATCTAAAAAAAAAAGAAACAGTTTTAGGCTCCTTGATAAGCTTTGGCTATGTTGAAAAGTTCAACTGATGTATTTTCTTACATTGTACTTCTTAAAGAAACCTAGGTACCGGATCACACCGACCCAGACCAGCATAGTGGCTGTTCCCAGCAGGATGCTGCACACATCATAGTCTGTCATAAACTACACAAAGAAAAAGAGGTCAGTCATTTCAGGCTGTAGTTATACTATTAATATAAGTGCTATTTGAATTAGATTGATTATATACCTTAGTTTGTATTCCAATTTTGAGCCCTGACCCAGTGATGGACAGTGTGTCGCTAACAATGATGAGAATATACCAGCCATTCACAAACTCCATGCGGTCTGCCCAAGTGACATCTTTATTATAGTGTGAATGGAAGAATGAGGTAAACTCCTGTGTACAAGACAACACAATAAAAAAAGACCTTAACCCAACTGGTAAAAACCAGTTCAGATGACACAGAGCAGTAAGTTTTGAAACATTTGTATATTCACAAACCTTTCACAACTTGTGGCTACAAAGACAGCTGTATATGTAAATTCACTGCATGGTTGGTGGCACAAAAGCTGAAATGAATCACTTACAAACTGTAGTTGGACACCTTTGATGACAGATCGTGTGCAGAGGAGAAGAGAAGTGAAACAGGCGAGGATGACCACAGAGTCAAACCACAAGAGAAGATAATCAATCTTCCCAGCTATAATTAGAGTAGAAACTTAATATTAAATCTTACATTTGTAGTGCATGTGCAGTGCATTGGCCACTCTTAAAGAAGGGTGGGATGGTTGGATGAGAAGTTCTGTGGTCACCGCTAAAGTAAATGTTTGAGTTACAGACTTACAAGTGCCTTCCACACTCCATTCCCTGCACTCATAGATTCTGACATCATATTCTACATCAACCTGTATCTTTCCACTGTGTGCACGGTTGTCAAACATTATCTGTGAAAAAACAAAACACATTACTGAAGCATATTTAATTTCACCCAGGCCATTTGCAACCACAGTCACTAACCATGGTATGAAAGTCATAACAATCTGGTAGCTCGTTGTGCCGCACTGTCTGCAGATTGATAGTTTTCAGTGTTAGGTAGACGTTCACCGACAGCAGTCTAGACACACAAACACCTATTACCAGGCAGCACTTCAATCACTGGGCTTGATGTATATACCTTAAGCTTGGTTACCTTTTGAAATCTAAGGATAAGTTGAATGGTGAGGCCAAATTGTTGTTTTCAGTTGACTCCCCGGGGTACACAGAAATACAGTCTGTGAGAGAAGAACACAGGAGCGAGTTACTAAAGATGTAACATTACACTTGATATGTTCATAAAATTATTTACAGTTCAATCCTTATTTCCACTATGCTGTGGTTAACAGCACTAGCTTCCACTTTTTGTCATCACACCATGCTGACCTGAATCAGCATTCCAAAAATAAATACTGGAAACAAAATGAAAGAGGGATGTTATTGCTGTACATGCAAAGGATTTTAATGTTCATGTCTAAATGGAAATACACATGGATCAAGTAAATACATACAGGTACAATAGTTAGCTGTTATTACTTTGATGCTCCATCTTGTCAGCTTTTATTTATTATTTGTGTTTTGATACCTTTATCAATATGTGGATCAATATCAAAGGTCTCATTGCCCGGATCAATGCTGCTGTTTCTGTAAAATTCCTGACACAGAGACAGAGGAGTAAACTGTCCATTCACCCTCTCGTAGGCAAGGTTGCCAACAGTCAGGTTCTGGATTCCTAAGAACTTTAAATAAAATCAAATAAATGTAACGACATCTGCCACAAAATGGATCTGATATGAAGATATTATATATTACATACCCGGTCGATGATGTAGTAGATGCGATCATAGACATCTGCCTTTGTATAAAGCACATAGGTTCCAAGCCCATGATCTTTATATCCTTTCAGGAACAGATGTCTGAAGGCCATCAGATTCTCATCTTTGAAGGTCACCATCATTTCATTGCTCAGACCAAAAGTCACTAACTGATCAGAAAAGAGGAAAATAACAAAATGTTTACAAATCTGTGATCTGTATTTCTTTAAAGTTTACTCAAAGCATGTGACAATATTTGTTACCTGAATTGTGATGATGGCTATTTTCACTATCTGTATCATCAGCTTCCATGGTTTACGACCTCTGGCTCTGTATTTCTCACAGGGGTTCATGAAGAAGTATTTCAGTCTACGCCTGAAGTCTTCCACCCCCTTGGATCCCACAGGGTGAGCAACCTTGTTTCTGTGTTCCTCTGACCGCAGCAGAGATTGAGCCTCTTCCATACTTAAGTGCAGATAAGTGCAGTATTATTACTTGCAGTAATAGTAGTAGTAATATTGTTGTTATTAAGGTTCAACATGCAGTGAAACTGTGATAAAGGTTGGCGGAGGGGTTCAGTCATTCCACTCATTCTGATGTTTATCAAACTGGTTTTGTTACACGTTCACTCCTCTCACTCTGTGTATATTTATGATGCTTGCACAGTATCCTAGGGTGAAAACCAAGTTAATATATATTTAATTTATTAACAACATTTAACAGCATTGAACAAAACCCTTCTTTTAAAGGTTTTATCTAATACTGCAAACTACCAAGTCTGAGATACTAAGTGTGTGACTTATAAACTGCTGTGTAACTGAATATACTGCATTGTACATATATTTAAATTATTTTACACTTAATCAGATGAGATTAATTCAAAGATCAAAGTTGAAGCTAAATACAATACAATACAATACAATGACACAATAAATTAATTACCTGCCGAGAAGTGCTGTCCAATGAGTAGCCACAGAGTGACTAGTCTGAGCCAGGCATCAGTGCTGTCTGTGTGCAGTGAACACTCAGCAGAGATTACAGTCATGCGTCTGCGTCACGATAAGATTTTCAAGTTTTTCCAAATGAGAGTGAGTCTTCAGTGACAGCATCTGTGCGAGTGCAGAGTCTGAACTGTACTGTATATGATTTAAACTGTGACTTAAACTGGTGAGTGTTTGGCTTTTCAGTTGACGTCTAAAACTCTATTTACTCGTATAAAATTGAATAGACTTTAATATACGTTGCATATTAGGATGCGTTGGTTAAGTGCATGTAGCTGTATGGCACAATATTATTCAATAACCCTATGGTCACAAGTTTCCTCATCTAAAACTACTACTTATTGGGCACCCCTGATATAAATTGCACCACATATTTTTGTGGTTAACCAACCCCATGGCCACCAACATAGGAGAAAAAAACACCAGAAACTGATACCATAATGGAATCCTTTAGTATTTAATACTTAAAAAAATTTAATATGGAAAGTGAAGTAACAATTAGAACTGTAGTGATCACAAGTAAACTTTTTACTTAGATATTTGAGCAGAAACCTTTTGAATTTCCACTGCTCTGGTCAAAGGCAGCATAAAAAAAATCACAGTTTACGCTCAAATCATTAATTCAAAACCACACTTCCTTCCACAGCATGAGAGCTGGAACATTCATTCATTTTCTATCCCAGAGCTAACGTAACTCCCAGCTGACATCAGGTGTACAGAAAATGTGCAGGCAGACCTATGCTATAATTGTTTTTTTAATAGACTATTTCTAACTAAACATAGGTGGTAAACATATAAACTAGAAAGACTGGACCAATACCTAAAGGACTTCCCTCGGAAATTCTGACTGATACATTGATTAACCTGTAGAACAAAGACTGTTACTTCTGCCTTATCAGGCCCAGCACCATTAAACCATGGTATGTGACAATGAAAAGTTCATAGTGGAGTGTTCTGGCTGAGGTTGAGTGGTTTTAGACTGTGTTGTTTATAAGAACTGCTTCTCCTGATGGGGCATTAAAAGATGTTCCCTTGTGATGTTGGGGTAAGTGAGCGTGATCGCAAAGGTTGAAAGTTTGCACTTTGAGAGTCTCCTGCAGCGCTGGTGCACCCGGGGCTTGTGGGGTCTATGCTGGAGGGAGATCCGATCCCCTCATCAGGCACAGGGGGAGCTCCTGGGTCTCCTGGTCTTGGGAGGCTCAAAGAGGTTGAGGAGGAAACTACAGGAATGCTAGCAACAGACACGTAGCATAATTCCTCACCTTTCTGTACTGAGGGCACATTGAGCGACTCTGGGACTTCTAAATTAGATGCACTTCGTTCGCCCTCTGGGTGGAAGAGTAAAGTGGAGTTGTTGGCAAATGAAGTCGGGAGGTCACTTGCCATGCTAGGACTGTTAACTTTGGTGTCAGATGAGGAACTGGAAGCTCGTGCTGTGGAGAGACCATACAGAAATAAGGTAAGAGTAAGTTTGACCATTAATAAAATAAACACTGTAGGTCTACCTACCTTTGAGAGACTCCAGCCTTTCATTTTTTAAAAAATACCTTTGAGAGACTCCAGCCTTTCATTTTTGGCTTTCTGCACCTCATCTGTGATCTTGGTGATGAGGAAGCTCTGTGAGCGCATCTCTCTGATGGAGTCAATCAAAGCATCCAGGCCCCGTGGGTTTTCAGCAAGATAGTCCAGCAACATGGCCGTCCTCTTGCTCTGTGTGGTCCGGCAACTGATTTCCTCGGCATCGTCTCGGGTCAGGATTCTACAAGATCGCAGGAAGTCTAGATGGCGCTCGGCTCTGATCTTTAAACACAGGTAGTGTCGCATTGTGATCAACACCTGAGAATTAAAGCAAACATAATAATGGTGAAACAAAAAGGAAGCAAAATCAGGTATTGACACAGGTATTCAGACACCATCTGAAAATCCTGATATTTTTTGCTTTTGTTGAATTTTAGAATATTATAAAACAGTAATAAAACAGAACATGAATGTCAGAAGGTTCTGTGATAAAACAGAACTTTCTGACATGGGAAAAGTTCCTAAATTCTTTGTCACAGGTACGAGTAGAAAATAGAAGTAAACACTCAACGGTACCATAAATATTCACATTCTCGACTTTGGTTGCATTCGTGATTAGTGGTTAGCAGTGTTAGGAAACCATGCCTTCATACTTACTTCCTTTTTAATGTCTGCCATTTCATCTTCACTCAGCTGAGGAACATCCATTCCTCTCACCCGCAAAGTGCAAATTCAGCTACTACAGCTGGCTCAAAGAAGGTTCCGCGTAAATAACAATAAACGTATCTACGTTAGTCGATTAACTGTGTTTTTAAGTTGATCTAGTATCAAATAAATATCAATACATGCGCAAAGGTGTGTCGACCATCATATTTTTTTTCTTTGCAGCACCGAAAAGAAACAAACCCGGACTTCCTGATTGTACCGAAGTTTGACGTCAGCAGCAGAGGAAATTTAGAGTCATTGGTCTGTGACACACCGAAACACACTGAAAAAACACACTAAACTAAACTAAACTAAAATTGTGCGCTTGTAAAATGTTACCAGGCTATTGTCGCCAAGGTTAGTGTCGTCTCATTCGAAATGTTTTTCATATAAAAAAGATTTTTAAAAATAGGTTAAGAAATGTACTGGCCCTCTCCACTGGATGTCACTATTGAATCACACATTCGTTGGTAATAAATAATCCCACCTTGTTTATTGGTTTGCCTTAAACCAGTTATTATTATTATTATTATTATTATTATTATTATTATTATTATTATTATTATTATTTCCTTATACTGACTATAACTTATACTGACCCTAAACTATTCAGAAATAAACATAATAAGAAGTATATCCAGAATAACAAACAGACAGAAAGTACTTATTTTTAAATCCCAGTGGCTCTTAATAGGGGGTTCCTGTTCCCCTTGGGACACTTGAAGCCACACCAGGTTCTTTAACAAATAGCCAGAAAAGTTAAGAATCATAAGCTGAATTCTATAAATAGTAGGCATTTATATTTCATTATTTAAAAAACCTATAGTCTCCTCTACATCCTGATGATGCAACTTGGTATGTGCTAAGAGACATCACCTGTCAATCAAAGCCCCACAAAAGGCAAAACCAGAGCTGCACAATTTCATCAGTATTCTGAATAATAGGTTTTCATGGGATTTATTTCTAGAAGTTAACCCACCACTGCTTATTTCTTTTTAATAAATCTGATGATGCATTGCTGTGTTTGTCATATTTGAAAAAAAGTAAAATATGTCAAATTCATCCCCTCCATTTCTCTCACCTATTTATTTTAGTCGTTATTTTGTCAAAATTTTCTAAATCCTACACTCTAGAAATTTTTACTTCCTGTTAATTTTATTTAAACAGTGCCAGACCATAACTCAAACCAAATCATATCACGCTACTGCTTGAATACAGTCTTAAACGGCTAAACACTTGAGTTGAGATGCTCATTTCCTTCCAATCAGAATATTTCATCAACGACTGAAGGAGTTCTGCTCCCTGAGGACTCTGTTGTCAGGCTTGCTTTGTCATGCTTGGTAATCTGTACTGTGTCACTGGAAAACACCGCAGCCAAACAGGAAGGTTTTCCTTACCTACTTGTAATCAGACAAGAGGTCATCTGTTGCTGCCTGGAGGGTTTTTTTTCCACCAAGATAATGGCTGGGAACAGAGGGGAAACACAGGCTCCAATATCTGCGTGACTACTCTTGCATCCCAGCAATTCTGGGGGAGAATTACAACAGTAGGCTGCCCTTTAAAGGTCATGTGTTGAAAGTTCGAACAGTGCACAGTACAGCCAATAGAAATAAAATAGTTTGTGAAAGGGCTATCGATACTAAACGAATTGGGGAAAGCGACAGTGCGGGCAGTATTGATGTAAAAAAAAAAATCAGCGGTGAGAGTACTCTGACATTATAATCAGATATTTTAAACTGAGTTTCTGACTTGAAATTAGTACAGCATTATTATAAATAATCTCACCATTACTTTTTTTGAAAAAGTGTACTGGGTTCTCAAATGCTTTATAAAAGTATATAAATAATAGTAAATAAATTGATGACGTTTCTACAGACAGGGGCCTATTTATGGTAGCAACCAAAACGGAGACACTGCAAAAACAAAAAGGAAAATGCCTTGTAGAAAAAGGGGAAACTCTGAAGTCATGGTCAATTAACTGTCTGTGTCACAGATTCAAGTTTTTGATTCATGTTTATAATATTAGTCAAGTCTTATCTTCATTTTCTTTGATCGTTTTAAGATGTTTGACATAAATAATCAGAAGACGAATGAAGGGGAGGAGGCATGGAGAAGCATTCCTATCATTCAGAGAGTATAAAAGGAGATGGAGAGAGTGAGCACTCCTCCTTTTTCTGCACTGCTCTGGTTTAAATACACAGGATCAATGCTCAACATCTAAAGATGTGGAAAGGCTATGTTGGAATTCTGTGCATTACTTTGGTGAGGAAACTATCTCTGTCCATGTGAACTTGGTTTTTGTTTAGTGTCAAATAACTAGTGCACTTTCTCTTACCTCTAAATGGAAGTGTTTGATGTTTTTGGCCAAACCTCAGGTGTCAGCTTCGTGCCCCAAACACTGTCCGTGTCTCTGTGGAGATTTAACCTGTACAAGCGGACTGTGTACAAACGTGGACGTCAGCTGTGGCTGCTGTGGAGTTTGTCCTCGACAACTGTTTGAAGACTGTAGTGAGACGCAGCCATGTGACCACACAAAGGGTTTGGAGTGCAACTTTGGAGGTAGAAATGAATCTGCTATGGGCATCTGTAGAGGTACGTCTCACCTATTATAAAAAGAAAAAACAAAAATTGTTGTCACTGCCCTATTCACTGTTCTACTTCCTGCTTTTGCCTTATCAGCTAAATCAGATGGAAGGTCCTGTGAGTACAACAACAGGATTCACCAAAACGGGGAAATCTTCCGTCCAAACTGCAAACACCAATGCACTTGCATGGACGGTGCTGTTGGGTGTGTCCCTCTCTGTTCACGTGAGCTTCTGCTACCCAGACCGGGTTGCTTCAAAACCAAAAGAGTGAAGGTTGCTAGACGGTGCTGTGAGCAGCTGGTCTGCACAGACCAAAAAAGACCACAGTTTTCTGCAGAAAAGAAGAACAGAAAGAAGAAAAGCAACGACAGAGCATCAGTAGGTGAAAAAGAACTGATGACTGCATGGAGAGGAAGAGCAGAGCCTTCAGCAGGTAATCAGAATTCCACTGTGAATGTATGATGACTATTCTTTGACAAAAACAATAGAGTGTGTAGGATTTACATCTCTATCTCCATTAGGGGGTACTATAAACAATATTGGAACAAAGACTTTGTTCCAATCTAGTTTTTAGGCCAAACTCAAACTTGTTTAATCATTGTACAAATTAATTTTTCCAGCTATACGGAACCACCCAATTGACAATGTGGTGGCCTCAGGGCAGAAGTGTCCATCTGTGTCCACTGCTTGCTCACGCTGCTCCAAGTTCTGTGTGGCTGGAATATCATCCAGATTAATCATTAGCGAAACTCACTGCACACCAATAAAAGAGACCTGGGTCTGTGCAGTTCGACCGTGCAACCACCAGATCATTGACGGAACAAAGGTCAACATATTTTATTACCTTTTGTATGTTAACATGTTAGTATTTTTATATATGAATATATATGATAAAAAACAATAATTATACTGCATGGTGGAAACTCTTTCTCCTCTCAACAGAAAGGTCAGAGCTGTTGCCCATCACAGGACGCCAGCCGTCCAGTGAAACTATCCTACGCGGGCTGTCGGAGCCTCAGAAAGTTTCAGCCCGGATCCTGTGGGCGATGCTGCAGAGCCCCTCGGACCCACACGGCACCAGTGCTTTTCAGGTGTAGAAACAAAAAGGTCTTCAGCAGAATGATGACATTTACAGAGTCATGTGAATGTGCCCTGAACTCTTTTAGCAACAACAAAGACCTCAATGTCCTCCATGCACTCTGAAAAATATATAATAAAATGATTATTAAAAGATATTGTACTGTTGGGTTTAGGAGACCTTGCAGTAATACACGGACTTTGTAAAAACACTTTTGCTTCATACCACTGGAGCCACAAGGGTTGCTTTCTTTAGGAAGCCTTTTTATATTTATAATTTTTATTAACTTACTTAAGACTTTTTTGTTGATGAAGAGAAATCTTCATTTGTGAAAATAACAAAGGTTTTTTTATATTTTCCATTTAAAGATAAACACAGTGAGTTGTGTTTCTGTTAGAAAATTATATTATTATATTTTGTAGAATTTTGAAAAAGAACATATGACATCATTTTACAAGATATTTGTTCAAGTTTGGTAAGAAATGTGATATTTGCTGTGTTTGTTTGATTATTTTTTTATGGCCTAAAAGATTTGCTGAACAATCGAAAAAAAGATGTAATGACAAAAGTTTTTGACCTCTTCTTGTAATATTTAAAACTTTTTTGGTCTAACATTTTATTTCAAAAGTGTTAATAATAAAATAAAGCAGCTACTAAATGTCACTACACACTATTTTTGCTATTATTGTTGTTATATCTCGCCTTCACATTCTGATTTTTTAACAATGACATAGTCTACTGTTACATTTAGAAAACAATATCCCTCTTAACACGTTCTCTGCATGTCTCCATATGCAACCAAATGAATGTTTTCCTCATTCAGTGTAATTTTCTGAGATAGAAGTTGGTATTGAATAGGCTGCCAAAAGCTGAGCTCAGCTCTTTCCAGCAGAAGCCTACTGAATTACAGAAATGTAACATCAGGAGGTTGAGAACAAGAGTTAAGGGAAAAACAGGAGGTTGTGACGCACACCGAGATGAAATGGTTCCATCCCTTGATGAGGACCACAATAGATCTTTGTCTGTGATGAGATGATGAAAGAAGCACAGTTCACATGAGGCGTAAAAAAATGTCCATAACACGGACAGAGGCTTGCATATTAGTCTGCAGAGTTTTTAGAAGTTTATTCAAATAGTTAAAGGATGAAGCCACAAATCAAGCAGCGACCAGAGGAAAAATGTTAGAATTCATCTTTATCTCTTTGTTTCCCCAGGAAACACACACCACAAAAATCGGCATCAGTGGTTTGGAAGTATACCAGAGGCATCAAAGTAATTAAATGTATCAGATTCACACCTGATAACAACAACAAAAAATTCATATTAGAGTCAACATTTTTGCCACATAAAAATGTACCTTTCTACAGACCATAAATGAAGATGATACACAAAGGGTCTGAAGAATCAGTACCGGTTTTCTGACTCTAAGGCTCATCTGTCACTGCATTTACGTAAGTGGTTCATTTGTTGCAAATTACCAGTAGCAACGGAGTGAACCATACAGTTTATTGAGCACAGATTTGCTCAGACATGTGGAAATATTGTGTAATATTAAATATTTCAGGTAAAATACACAGTAATGTAGATGACATAGATGTTACCCTGAGAACAAACAGTCACAGTCAGTCAGTAGTTTTTAAAGATTCTCCAAAGCTGTAAATATGGATATATGTAAATATACACACACACATATATATATGTATTTGATATGTTTTTGATAAGAGGGCCTTTAAAAATCATAGATAAATAAATAAATAAAATCTCACAAATGATTCCAACTGACATTTATCAGTCCATTGACTGACTGATTTTTCTGCACCTATTTTAAAAAATATGATGAACGAAAAGTAGAACTCTGCACTCCTTCATCAAACATTGTGGTATAAGAGTTCTTCAGGAAATTAACATAGTTCTGAATGCTTTGTTTGTGGTTTTCTGATTGTTCCAGGCTGAGCTGTAGGTCCTTGAGACGCACCTCAAAGCGTTTCTCCGCCTACAGGTTCAGACAAGAGACGTATTATCCTCAGATATCACTCAGGCAGAAAGGACGGCTATTTTGTTTTCTACTAAAAAAAAAACCCCACAACAACAATCTTTTGTTTTTTCTTTCTACACAGAATAACAATACTCACAGTCTGTTTACTCTGGCGCAGAAGCCTCAGCTCATTGTCTTTCCTGCTCTTTTCTGCCTCCAGCTCAGAGATTTTAGTCTGAAGAGAATCTTCTTTAGAAAGAGCTTGGTCTTTAACTTTTTTCACCTGGACACAAGAAAACCCAAACAAGTGGAAAACACAATGTGACATCGACCAAACAAAACAAGTTTCAGTTTGAATTGTGACACTGGCACAATAGCACAACTTTGTCAAGAAACAACACTGTTGTTTAGTGCATTTGTTAAAAAAAGTTACACAGATGGTAAACCAACAACGGAGAAAATCCCCTCTGATAATGATAACGATGCTGTTAATGATAATGATGGTGACACCTGTTGTGCAACGTCTGACAAAGCCGCCTCCAGCTGACGCCCGAGGGCCTGGGATTCTGCAGACTGCTGTTGGAGCTGACGGTTACTGTAACTCAGGGCTTCCTCCTGAGCTGTGAGCCGCCGCATCAGTTCCATGTTCTCCTGGACCAACTTATCCACCTGCCTGCAGAAACATGTGAACACAGCAGGACAAGAATTTGAATTAATAAGGATTTTTACGGGGAAATGCCCTTCAAAAAGGTCACAACTACCAAGTGACAGAATCTTCCCTGATATGTAAAAAAGAAATATTAGAAAAAGTACAAGTTTACAAAATGTAAGCCTGACCAGAGCTAGAACCAAACAATTAAAGAAATAATTATGAGTTTGCCAAGAAGAAAAAAACAACATAGAAATATGTACTTATATAAAGTATGTGTGTAAAGTATATATATATATTCATATATGTGTATATATATTTATATAGGTGGAAAATAATTTTGTTCTTTTGTTCCTTTTGTACCTTTTTATAACTTGTTCATGCTATTTTGCAGAATTCACTTTCTCCTGTAAACATATATTGGCCTCATGAATGGATTCCTTCATTTCCACTGACGATGTTAGCAATTTGTTTTGACTCTCCATCTATAAAGGTCAGAGGAAAAACATAAAATGCTATTTCTTTTAGGCATAAATACATACTTAAGAAGACATAAATTACATCTATACTGTACAGATATTCTACACTTTTTCACCACAGTCTTTTAAATGCAAAACATCACTGCAACACTATTGCTGAGGGAGACTGGAACTCAGACAAACCAGTGTGTAGGTTCAACTGGGAAGAGTTTATGTTTCTACTGAAAAAAATTTTGGAAATATATTTTATACAACACTCCACACACAGATTTCTGACACACACAGGGTTGTGATGGTCAGATGCGGGAAAATGTCTACATTTTACATTTCCTGACCACAACAGCTCACGCTGCACACCTTAACCTGCAGCTGCTTAATGGATTCAGCCTTTTCTGAGCACTTCCTCTCCGAGCACCGCAGGTTCTCCTGGCACTCAGAGAGACTCTGTTGGGCTACGCTCAGTAACTCAGGATAAATCAACAGTTCGTCCAAACGGGCCTGCAGCTGCTGCCTCACCTGGACTCAGGGCGAGGGGACGCAGAGGAAATTAAGTTTTGGGAACAAGAAAAAAAGATTAGCTTAAAACTCAAATCAGAGATTTGCATGTTCAAAACCCACACTTCATTTTAATCCTATTGTTGGAATTTGTAAAAAAAAAACAGGATGTACATAAGGAGTCACAGACAATGGAAGGCACACCACGTCCACTGTTAAAATAAAATTCAAAAGTGTAATAAAGACATGGTAAAACATTGATGGATTACCTTTTCAACCTCTGTGTTTCTTCCATCACTCATCTTCTGTGTCTCTCTTAAAACTTTTGCGTATTTGATCCTTAGGTTACTGAGCTCAGCCTGAAGGTCTGCCACCTAAGAAAACAGTATGGAGAGATTAGTGCAGTCAAAATAGCTTCCTCCTTCCACACATCAGAAAAAAAAAAAGCTAAATCTCTTGGACATTATAGACCATACAGAGAAAATATCATTGTGGTGCATTCATGGTCAGTTCAGCCTCTAGCAAATATTATTTCACATTTTAAAAGTCAAAATGCCATTTCTCAATTAAATTTAGGATTAAAGAGAAACAATATTTTCCCCAGTTCAATACTAGATTGTTTTTCACATCCATTTAGGCAGGTGTGCTGTGTCACTGTCTTCTCTGTGACCTTGCATCAAGGACTCTTGTATTCCCAACCTTGATATTATATGCAGTGAATAACTGGTCACCTGACATTGAGACTGTTCAGTTTGATGTTTCCTCTCCTGAGACAAAGTCTTCTCCTCCACCAGAGCAGACTCACAATCAGCCAACTGCTGCTCCAGTTGAGCCACTGAGGCCTGCAGGTAAAGAAACAAACAACTCATCCATTTTTGCCAAAAAAAAAAAAGAAAAGTATTTATCAGCAACAGAAGGACTAGTTTTCCATTCTTCTACAGGTGGGAGGTATTTGTACAGCAGCAAGGAAGTATTTAAAATTCTATTAGTAAAATACTTAATACAATAAAATATTTTTAAAAATGTATCTTGTGTCTCTAGGTAGCCAGTAGAAACACAAGATATTTACCAATAAATAATGTGCAGCAGTGTCTATTTTAACTTTTTCAGGATGCCAAAACACAGGTATTTTACCAATTGGTTAACGCCTGTGTCTCATGTTCAAGATGAGGGACCACCTGTACCTTCAGTGCTGCATTATTGACGAGAAGGGTTCCATTTTCACTGCTGATCCTGTCAACGCGCTGCACCACAGCAGCATTAGCTACAGCCTGCTCATCCTTCTCCTGCTGCAGCTTCCTGATCAGGTCTGTGATCTGGCTTTGATGGACACATATTTTACAGTGATCAGTGAAAACTCATCTAGGGATCAATCCCTTGTGTGAGTACAAACACAGGCCAACCTTTTCAGTAACTCTACACGAGTCAGTAGCTTGTCTCTCTCTTCTGTCAACCTCCTGTTCTGCTGCAGCCAGGAGTCCAGTTCCAAACGGGCGTTGTTCATCAAAGCATCCTTTGGTACAACCATTGGAGAAAGGATGACAAGTGTCACATTTTTTATCATTATCATTTATTTTATGATTTTTTAAAAACCAGCTAATAAAAGCCATGTCAGATTTATACCTTTTCCCTCAACTGTTCGTAACATTTCTCAATGGCAGCTTCGAATCTCTCAGCCCTCTGCTTGTGGGCTCGTGTGGCTTTCTTCAGAGACTCTTGGTCTTGAGCTGCCCTCTCAGTGGAAGACGAGATGGAACTTTTCAGATCATCAATCTCCAACTTTTGTTCAGTCAGAGTTCTTTCCAGAGTCTAAAGCATCATATTTTTCTCAAGGTATTATTTCACATTTTCCATTTGAAAAATGTTCTCTATCTTTGTTGAAGGACTTGGAGTTTATACCTTAAGTTGTCCAATCAGACACTCGTTTTCAGCCTCCTTGTTTTGTAGCTGCTCCTGCAAGTGAGCACGGTTCTCCTCCACACACTTGGACACGTTGACTGCAGTCTTTATGTTCTCCTGTTCAACAGTCATAATTGTTTGTCGAATCTACGGCCATATTATTTATAAAAGTTTTAATACAAACCTGTTCTTTTCTTCGTACATCCATCAGCTCTTCCATGCTTCTCTCTGCTGCATTCAAATCACTTTTTAATTTCTGGGGGAGAAGAATAAAAAAAGACTAACTATGACCAAAATAGTGGAAAAAGGGAATAAAAGCCACAGCTTTTTTTCTGTAAAATGTGTTAAAATGTAACCACTCACCTGGTTTTCACTTTCAGCCTCTGTAACCTTTTTAAGTAAGATGTCAATCTGTTGACTGACATCAGTCCGATCAGCCTGCAAAGAAAGAGGTTTGAACTTAGAAGACAGAATACAAAGAAAAAAACTTCTAATGCACTATGCACCAGAGAACTGTGTAAACACAGGGATATGACAAACCTCTGCTTCCAGGAGTATTTTTAATTTCTGTCGCACAGACTTATTTGTTTGCCGAAAACCCTCTAACTTTTCCATCAGAAGTCCCCTTTGCCTCTTTAGTCGCCGCTTGTCTGTGCCAGGCTGTCTGGAATCCTTCAGAAAACACAAACTTACGTCATCAGATCCAAAATAGTTACACAATCACAATTCAGAACTAGAATTACTCCGGTATTTTATGTATTTGCTTCAGGAAACAAAAAGCAATTTCGTCAAAATATCATTCCGTTCTTCTGTATCTTGACTGAAGGTGCTTGGAGCAGACACCATGACATGTACTTGTGCAGCTCTCGCTCCCCATGGCAGTCAGAAGTTGGGATGATCGATGATAAAGATTCAATTTTATGAAGCAAACTTACAGGCATTTCATTTTCTAATGCATCTTTAAAAGAAGCAAGCTGTACGGCTGCAGAAATGGCTGCTGCTTCAGCATCCATCAGCGCTCTCAGGAAAGGGCTGTGTCCACTAGAAACATCTTCATGACTAAAAAAAAGAGAAAGAAGACATAACAAATTATATATAAAATTAAACATTTGACGGTAATTATATTAGAACCTAATACAATAAAAGTGATAAATAAATTCGATGACTCTTTCCTGCACTTTAATTATTGAGAACATCTGCTGGGGAGTAAATGTGTAAACACTGATGCATCATGGGAGCTCACCTGCTGACATTGACCTCTGGGGTCCTCATCCTGAGAGCACTGCGTCCCTTGCTAGTTCTCTCCAGCTCATATTCAGATCTATCTCTACCTCTACTGCTCACAGAAGGATGCTCATTGGAGGAGCTGAAACCAAGAGGAGGACTTTGGGGCTTGTCCTCTGGAGATGTTCTTCTTTCCACTGAACACATAGAACAAAGTGAACATTTTCAAAAAATAATTCAGGTTTCTGCTTTTCTGTGCAAATGTGTGGCTTGTTTGAAATAATATGAGGCCTCTCTATAGACCTGTCTGACTAAAATGCCTCAACACTAGACATAAAATCACAAATTTGATTTTATGTAGTTCATAATTACCTCAAATATGTTGAAAACAAAACCCATAAATGTTGATTTTTTGTTATTGTTTTATGTACTATTATTAAGTTCCGTTTCCCTTTTAAAAACGTGTTTAATGGGTTTTATTGGTGCTTTAAAGGTCAAGGAAATATTCGAAAATAAACCAGGCACAGCCAAGTCGAATGCTATTGATCGCTAAAACGCTGTCTTTTTAACCAAACATTCCTCGCAGACAAAAATGTGACTATTTTAAATTGCATTTATTAAAATCAGCTTTCATTGATCAAAATCAAACAAATAAGCACGTAAACATTACTTACTCGTGTCTTGGTGACGGTTGGGTACAACGCTACTCTAAGCCGGAGAGTCTCTCCGCCCATTTTTATGTTTCAATGCTAATTGGTTAACGTTGTGCCGATTCAAACACGCACATACAAATCGGGGCTTTTGATTCGTTTTCTTTAAGAAAAGTAGGAGGGACTTAGAGAGATTTAATTCGTAAACAACCAATGACAAAAAGTTTACGTGCAACCATAGAAACGAACAGGAAGTTTGTTGCCACAGATCGACGTAGCATCAGTTTTGCACTTTATAAGAATTATTACAAGGATTTACCATTTAATTTGTTGTTTTATGAAAAGTCTTGATTTATACTAGTCCCCTGGTGTAATTGACCGGGTCATGTAACCATTAAGTGGCTCGGTTCGATCGCTTGTGGGGATTCTTCAGCCAAAATTAGCACAACAGCTAATGTTTTGCCCCTCAGAAAAAAGAAAATGATTAAAGTGAAAATACTCTTCGTTGGTCCCAGTGAGGTAAGAACGCGTTTATGTATCTTTTTCATCACATGTGTCTACAGTTATGAAGGTAAAATATTCAGGTATGTCAATGATGTAGAGCTAATGGAGGAAGAAGACTTAGCAAACCAAAGTTTACCTGGCTCCACATCACATGACCCCTCACTGTCTGCATGATATCGATGCATCTTCTCTTTGCCTTTTTTGAACACAAAATATTACTGTTGGGTAAATAACGAAACATAACGAAAATGTTAATGTAAAATTCTCATTTTTGTTATGTCACAGATCTCAGGAAAACAAAACTGTTTTAAGTAAGCACACTTTAAAGTGCTTTAAAAGTAGGACGTATTTATATAATATTTTGTATCTTTAAGTACTTGCTTAAAGATACAAAATGCTTTTTGATTTATCCCAACTGCAATACCGCTAAAGACCACTTGTGGTCCTCAGCTCTCTTTCAGAGAAACGGATTCATCTTTTATTATCAGAGGTTTGATACTCTTTGTTAGTTGTGACAGGAAAAACATTCATTTGTACCCAATTAATGTTTCTTTTTTTCAGAGTGGCAAAACAGTTTTGGCTAATTTCCTCTCTGACACAACAGAAAATGTGGGAGGTGAATACAGACCTACTCGGGGAGTCAGGTATAACCAGTGAACTGTTTTAAAAAAAAACTCCAGACATTTGTTTAAAAGACCTGTTTCACATTTTTGTGTCTTAACCCAGCATTAACCCAAAATTGAGATTTCAAAAAATGAAACAAAGATTGACGATTTACTAAACACGTAAAAATGTCTTCATGTTTTTAAGGATACTGGAATTTGAATCACAACCTGTTGGCAGTGGTGACAACAAGGCATGTGAAGTGGATCTGTGGGACTGCTCTGGAGATTTTAAGTAATCCCTATACAGTGTCAATACTTTTTATATAGCTCCTGAAAGACCAAACTTAATTAATGTTAGGTTTCTTTTTTTTCTTTTCTTTTTTTGTCACACAGATTTGAATCTTGCTGGCCTGCTCTAATGAAGGACTCCAATGGTGTTGTGATCATTTTCAATCCTGATGTTCCCAGTCACCTCAAAGAAATAGAGACGTGGCATTCGATGTTCATTTCCTCCCAGGGCTTGGTTGACAACCAGTGCTTACTCATATCTCACTACAAACCCGGCAGCAAAGTAGAAGATGAACGTGTGCCTTTAGGTAACCACACATCAGGACTCCCTGGGCTGTGAATATAATGTATTTTTACTACATTAAGTGTGTTTTCTTTCTGATGCAGCTTCACATTTAAGCAGAATCCCTTTCATTCAATCCAACCTGGAGGAGGAGCCAGAGGACGTGAGGCAGAGTTTCTGCAGATACCTGGGAAACGTTGTGAACGCAATGTCAGAAAGTCGAGAAAGAGAGGAAATGTCCATCATTACATGAGAGCTCTACATTTGAACTTAATATACAGTGAAAAATATACACTTGTATTTGTTTCTCGATTACAAACCATATCCTGTAAAACTCACGACCCTTAAAATTGCAGCAGAATGGTCACATACTTCATGATTATCAGGCAAAGACCAAAACATGACCAAAAATGTTTTTTTTTACTGACCGTCTATTTTGAATAGACAGAGACAGGTCCTTGGACAATGATTACAGCAACACCAGTGTATTGTCAGTTTTTAAATGTGTGGGTTCAACCAACTGAAAACACACTGTCAGTCCATTTGCCTGTTCAATGCCATTTCAAGTGAGTTCCCAAATACTTAACTTAGTTTGTATTGCATCTGCAAATCTACCAATTTAAAATGTTCACTCTAAGTGTAGATTGGCTATGATTGCTCTTCAACAGCTTGACATTCAATGACCTTTTTGTAATTTCCATGTGAATGTGCCCGCTTCTGACTATCACATGGATGACTGAATCATTAGTCACTTTTATGACTCATGCTCTAGTCATGCGTTCAACCAAAATAATGGTGCATTGTGCAAACAATGCAGGTTTGACCTGTATTTAATAAACACCAAACTACAGACACCAGCTGATCCATTCCCACATGCTGGTCCTTAAACAGGCGACCGCGGCTGAGCTTGTAAGCAACAGAAGGTCAACGCTGGCATATCCCCACAGACCTGTAGACTTCAGGGCAGTGTGGGTAACGGTCAAAACGCCCAAGGATAGTCACTAATCACCTGGTGATGCCTTCTCTTGGCTAAAGGTTATGGTCCCAAAGACATCATTAAGGGAGTTTGTATCAACAGTTGTTTTCAGGTATGTAGTGGAGATGTACTAACTAACTTTTATTCCACATACCATAAATGGATGGTTAACAGGATTAATAAGTTGTCTGTATAAAGATTGGAAGAAAACTACGCTGATGATTTGAAAAACTGCCATTGACATATTTTAAGATCGAAATAAACATGGTTCCCAAGATGCAATTTGTTTAGTTGTTACTAATAAATAACATAAGAACAACGATGACAAACTGCACACATGATAAACAGAAGATACACAATAATATTAATGGCATGTTGTTGAGGAGGAAGAACAAGTCACAACATGCGGTTTAATAAACAAAAGATGAATGAAACTAATTATTTCTTAAGTCTATTTATTCTACGTTTTGAAAGTATGCATCTTTCTGTCCCCACGGCTGCGTCCTGTACTCACCATGCAGATGTCTGCAGTCGGACAGCATGACCTTTGACTTCTCTAGGGCTTCCATTCTGTACAAGTCGGGATGTTCATGATCGTTAGTGCCAACAGTCCTCCCAATTTACTACCGCTCTTTTCCTCCTTCCCTTCATAGTGAGTAACTCAAACCATCAGATCAAAGCCAACATTAAAACCAATTCAATAAAACATGGATAAAAGATTTTCATAATGTGTTCACATTCAAAGATTTTGATTTAAAAAGCATGCCACGTTGTGCTTTATACACAGTGTCTGTGTTGGTTTCAGAGGTGAACTTTTTTTTTTGTTTAAAGTGGTTCCAAAGCTCTCGCAGTGCGTCACAATTTCCACCTGCTGGAAAATATGAGGCTAATGTCAGGAGTAAATGATCTGTTCTAAGGATTTCTGACTCATCATTGTCCAAGTATATGTTAGTATTCAAATGAAAAAACTATTCAGATGAAACAGTTAAACATGGAAAACATTCATTGTTAATTGCGAAAGACAAAATGACAATCCCATTATAACACCAATGTTAGAAGCCATTAAAAATACCATTGGTTTGACCAGGATTTTTAACCAATAACTTCTGGGCTGTAACTTCTTTAATCCATTATTGACTAAAGTTTAGTTCATACTTTAATATTGTTTGGTTGGACCTTTCATACATTTCCTCAGGAATGCAAAATATAGAACTGAGCTAAATGTGTTTCTGACATTAAATTGACCTTATGAAAATGAGAAATATGTTCTTTAAACCAATTTTAAAAAGTGTGAAACAACAGACATTCTGCCCTTTGAATATCCTGCAGAACCAGCCTGATGAAGCTTAGACCGTGTGAGTCATAGACACAAAAATATACACAGATAGACAGGAAGGCAGAAGGAAGCAGAGAGGAAGAGAGTCTGAGTCAATCTTCCCATTCATGGCCTAAAATGAGCAGAAAATGAGACTAAAACAAATTAGATGATTACTTTAGCCTTGGCAAGCAGAGCAGAAACGCAGATATTTGATGACAGAGCAGCTCTTTAACGGGCCTCATCTCTGCACGGGGTATGGAGACAGATAAGGACATCTTTGATTTCTTTACCAATCTGTGGGAAAGTGGAAAAAATGATTGCCAGGATTAGGGAGATGAAGTCATTTGTTTAAATCTGTCGTTGCGTGACTCTTCTCTTCAATTATCGTTGTTATCCTAACTGGCCTCTCTCTCTTTCCAAATGCATCTGGGCCCAAATGACCACGATGTGTGGAGATCATTTAGAAGGTTCTATAAAGAGTTCTCAATTACAAATTCTAAAATATTCTTCTATTAAATTGTATTTAACTTTAATTTATCTGCGTTAATGTGTGCGTGCAAGGCAAATTACTGTGTGTAATGGGGAATCAGATAAACCCATAACACTAAAATTAGGAAACAAGAGCTGAGATAAAAAGATCATAGCTATAGAGCTGTGGATGAATTAAATAATAATGCTCAGACATTTTAGGTGTGATGTTCTTCTGAATGATGTCTTTCTCTTCGCTGGATATTTTAATGTAATGTTATGAGCGCACATTTAAAATGAGAAATGTATAATTTAGAGATCACTAAAGTCCTTTTTATTCCTAAAGGAATGAGAAACTTCATTTAAGGCCTCAAGGAGACGCCAGCATTTTAGGGTTTAAACAAAGTCGAATGTGTATGTAATGGTGGAGCGGCTACATTAGCAGAGAATCCCTGTGAAAGTACGTCCCACAGGATGAAACTGTCACAAACTCAGGTGTAAAATGTGACCTTCAATGTGAGCATCTCACTGAGATGTAACATTCAAAATAATAGTATTATTTTTACCACATATTAAATATAAAAATGACATTGACAAATGACAAACAAATGCTAACTTTGTGTATTACAAAGGATATGCAGAATCTGAGGGTAAAAACCATTCAAAGTTGCTTTTCACATTGATTAACTCTAAGGTTTTGTTTTTGTCCACAATCTCTGTTCAATCTGTGGCCATCACTGCAACAGCCATTAACTGCAGCTGAGTACACACACACACCTGATTATGATCAGCTTATAAGGCTACACACACACAGACACACATGTACAGTGCCTTTCAAAAAAACAAAAAGAAGCACAAAATGGCACAAACATAAGCAGCTTAGTTTCCTCGTATCAACAGCCCAGAGCGGCAGTCGTCCATTAATCAGTGCAGTTACATCCACATGAAGCAATGCAGTTTATCTGTTATGGATTAGAGAGACAACAAAACAAACCCTGTCTTTTTTAGCTGCGTTCCCACTGAGTCATCACACTCTTGTGGGTACTTGGTGAGGTTTAACGAGGCTGAAGTTCAACGAGGGAAGAGTTTGTACTTTTATTGAAGGCTATACTTGAATGCAATATTAAGTTTCTTTGTTTTATCAGTAAATTCTGACATGTATTTACCTGAGTAGAGTGTTCACTGTAGGATGTTATCTTTATTCTACATCAGTGGGAGGGCTAAAAAAGGCTTTGCTTATATTGGTTACATCAAATTCTTTTTTTTAGGATTGACGTTAATCCACCTAAGATCATGAAACGGCCCACGACACCTCCTCTGAGTTCATTTGAAAAAAAAAAGCCTTTGTTGAAAGCAGCTAGAATTCCTACAAGTTAGCAATAAAACAGATATGAAGATAGACGAAAAGGAAGTGAAAATTACCAGAAAAAAAGCAAAATGTAGTATCTATCAGATAAAAACCCAATTATAACTATTGTTGGGGTCATATGTGGCCAGAAGTTATGAATAATTCCAGAGTAAAATAGCTTAAAGCCAAAGCTGTGCAATTTATTTTTGTATGTATTGTTTGTGTGCAATCATAAAAGCATCAGAGACATTATTTATATTAAATTATTTGACTGACTAATCGCTTTCCCCTTGGTTTTAGAATCTTTAAAAAGTGTCTTAAAGAAATGTACAAAACTTTATAAAATTGCTCTGGCACTTGCCTTAGAAACGTTATACACTTCTGTGAAACTCATTTCAGATGGGCAAAAAAGGCCAATGATAAAAAGTAATTTTCCAAGCTTAATGGTGGGCAATAAAAAAAGTGATTTTAGAAAGAAAAGTCACGTCTGGCTCCTGGGCTGAACTGTAGACACTGAAGTGGACGCTATTTGCAGGGTTTAGCATTAAATCCAGATATGACATTGTTATCATTACAGTGATTCAAATGCATATCAGTGTAATGAAATGTTCAATTTTTGATTCTAATGTTCTCTACCATGTGCATTTCACCCACTGAGATGATCACATTTATAGGTTCTTGTGGGTCTCCTTCTATGATAAAATGTTTTTTTTTTCACCCAATGTCACCAAAAATCTCATTGATCTGTTATTGGTTGCCATTAAATCAAATGTAAATCACACCATCTGCGACTCTTTGTTGTTGATATAGTTCAGTGTAATAACGGCCAAATTAGCTCCATGAGGCCAAATGGGGTTTATAGATTTGAGCTGTACAAAAAAGAAATCCATTCGTCTGTTGATGTTCTTTAATTGGAAATATAAAACTCGGGTAATAGTCCGTAATAGAACTCCAAATCCACTGCTTAGAGATGAAAATCTTTTTTTTCTTCTGCCGTCTCAGAAATCTCGAGCCAGTCTTCATGGATTTTTCATTTGAGGCAAAACCTAAATAGATTCAGTGTTTTTTTTTCTTTCATACTTTAACTCGAACATTAGCTTCTCACTGTATCTGTAAGTACATCCTGCTCTGCTCTCTCTTTAAAATCTCTCACTTTTATTTTTCCCAAGGCAAGGAACAAAAGGTTCCCCTTTAAAGTTTCTGTTTTAATTCTTCTGACTTTATCATTTTATTTGTTAATACCATTTACTTTAAGGAGCAGCACCACCCTAGTTGTGGATAGTGGATGTTAACAAAACTGTGACTGGTCATGTTTTTAAATGAGGCAGGAAATCAGGGAATACACTTCATTTGCATGTGCAGACAGGTGGTGATTCGCTCTCTTTCTCTCTTTAGTGAAACCATTGATATCCCAAAGTGACCCACCACCTGCAGCAATCGGGATGATTATTATACAACCTGCACCAACATGAAGGCCCTGTCACATCCAGCCCTGTAGTTTTGGTTGTTGTCATTATTATGAGTTAATGCATGTTTATCTCTGTTTTGTTTACTGCTGTGTCTTACCTCCTTTTCTCTTCTCTGTGTTCATGTTCGTTTGCCCACCTCTTCCTGCCTCGTTAGTTTGTTCTCCTTGGTGATTGTCTAACCTTCTCCACCTGTGTCTCATTAACTCCTCCCCTACATCTCCTGTATATTCCTGCCACTTCCACTCGTTTCTGTTTTGCCTCTCCTCGCTCAGTGAATCACTGTGTCTTTCTGGACTTGTGTTTCTACATGTGTTTTTCTGACTCTGCCTTACAACGTGTCGTTGTGCAATTTTTTAGTGCTGTTGTACCTTTTGCCTACATACCTCAAATGTTTGTCCGTTCATCTATTAGCAGCCTGCCTTTAAGTACACACCCAAAAGGATCCTTCAGGTCACAAAGTGCACACTTGCATAATGGGGTTATTATATATATATATATATATATATATATATTTGATTGGTTCCACACATTGATTGAATAACATCTCAGCATACTTAATGAAAAAAATATAGTAATATGATTTAATTTATATGAGTTGTAACTACATTAGTACAACAAAAATGACAAGACTGTGCATGAATACAGTGGTTTTCTGTTAATCTCATTTCATAAAAGTTTGGTCCGATTGGTCTGATGCCAATCCCGGCAGTCATTGGTCGATGGCACAGTACACTCTGGATTATCACAGGGCCGCATTTATAACGTTGTCACACTCAATCCTGAATCTAATCCCATATTAGTTAATATAGTATTCCTGTCAGAAGCTGTCAGAACAAAGAAAAAAAGTCTTTTTGTCAGTTATTGATGAAAATATTTAATCACTACAAGAATCTGCTGGAATAAATTCACCTTTATGTGTTTGGAGGATGACGGTTGTTGTCAAGATGCTATGATGTCTAGGAGGGTTGCCACCTCAGAGTGGTTCTTGTAGAGTGCTCTTCATGGTCTTCTCCATCCTCCTGGCTGTGGGTCATGTCAGCTGAGGGTCACGAACCCTCAGATGCACATTTGCCCAGCAGATGGTGGACTGTTCTGATGAAAGCACCTTCAACCACAGGACTAATTCTCCTCTGAACGCTGTTCTTTCTCCTTTCTAAACCGATGTGCACGATGTTTGTGCTTATATGAGTTTTGTGAATTGATTGTTTTCAGTCCCCATCTGAACGCTTGGTAACAACAGCGGGGCTGGGGAAT